GAACTTGATGCACTTATTCAGGAGGCTGCAGCACTCGGAATAAAGATGCCCAAAGTGAAGGACCTTGTTCCTGACCCACAACAATTTCAAAAGGTTGGATATCGGCAGATTGAGGTGGCTTGCGATAGAGGAAACATCGAGATAATTCCACAGTATGGAGTTACATTCTATGTGGAGTACTGGAATGGACCGAAGAGAGATGCAACTTTCACGGATCCACCAAAGATGAACCCAGCAACTCGCATCGACAAGTTCAGCGAGGAGAGTCAGTGGGTCAACGAGATTAGCCATAGACTCAATAGACTACTCAGGCATGGAGTGGGAAAGCATAATGGGATTCAATCGCACCGCGGTCGAAAACCTCATGTGTCCCCGAAGTGCAATGAGGGTGGATGGGTGAACATCGATGAGATCCTGGAATATGATCATGTCTTCAACGATGGTGTCAATATCAGTACTATCTCAGGTACTCAACGCGAGCAAGATACCAAGACAGAGCGATACCAGTATTTATGCAAGGCGATGTGGCATGCAAAGAAGTTGCAGAACAGAGTACGCTATCAGATTGCCGCCATTCGCATCTCAAAGGAGGATGTCTCACTCGAAGAGGAAAGGCAATACTGGGCAAACCTCATGTTTTACAGCACAGACGCACCGTCATTTCTGAAGCATGAACGTTGGATCGTTCCTTGTGCAATTCGAGCTGTTGCCTCTCACAATTCTGGAAGAGAGACTGTTCTTGAAGAGGATGTGTCAATATATCCTGTGTGGACTTCACATCTCATTCCAGAGAATGTGGCAATGCAGCTTGGAGGAAGCTTTCACATGACATCGCTTTCCAATATTGAGTCAATCATGAAACTAGGAATTGTCCCTGGTGGAACGGATGGATATAGAGGTAGTGTTTTCTTCAACCACTTTGCGCCGTGGGATGATCGATCATCAAAGATTCTGAGATCAAGATGGCCAAGAGTGGGAATGCCCGTTTGCCTTTATGTTCCAATCATGACTTTGAGGAAGCTTGGGGGAAGAATTTCGGAGAATTCCTACACTGTTGTTTTTAGAGAAGTTCCATGGAGATGTGTACGAGGCGCTTGGTATTGGGACGACCACGTTCAGGCATGGAGGAGACTCCTGCTGGGAAGCACTGGAGAGCAAGTTGTTCTAGCGGCACATCATGGACTTTGGGTTGCTCAGAAGCATACCATCCTCGAGAGAGCCGACGAAGTCACGAAGTCAGCCTCGGCGACAGATGACAACGTCCAAAAGCTCGTGTCCCTTATCGATGAAGTACGATTCGATGACAATGGAGAGCTGATCGAGGATTCCATCAGTGAGGAAACTTGGGACGAAATCATCTCCAGAACATGTGAAGGGTATCGCAACGTGGATGGCAATATTTTGTGTCCATCATGTATGCATTTGACTTCTTCATCTTTGTCCGTGTGTCTATCTTGTCAAGGCAGGCTACTCTCGTGTGGTATTCGCAACACTGTCATTTCCGATTCACCCGTTGATCTTGTGAGCGACGATGAAGAGGAAAAGAAGGAAGAGAAGGAGCCTGAAGATGATGATCAAGATATCTTGGACCAGGCCACTATGGACGAGATCAGAAAGGCTTGGGAAGAAGACATCGCTCAAACTGAAGCAGCTGACGACGACGAGGACATGGACAATCTAGATCCTTCCAAACCGTCTGATGGTGCAGAAAACTTCAAGAGTGACAATGTCGAGACCCCATCTTTCAATGAGGACGAGATCGACTACGGTCGTGATTCTGATCTAGAAGATGAAGACGAACGAAACGTGATCATCGAGATCCAGAGGAGCACACAACAAGATGAGGGGAAGAAACGTCAAGATGGTGAGCCCGAGGATGAAGACGTCACCGACGACTTACATCCGGAGGCGAATCGACCGACAGATCGTGATGAACCGGGATACTATGCACAGCATGGAGCGACCGAGTTCAATCCCGAAGAAGGAAGAGACAACGAAGATCTCCCCATCTATTGTCGAGTACCGGAACCTCGAATCTATGCGCATCAAGAGAGAGCCTACTGTCAGGACGTCTCCGTGAATGCATCGGGTTTGATGGATAGGTATGTGGTCAATGTGTGCTGAACATGATCTCCCTGATGTACAAGAGCTACTATTGCACCAGCCTTACCGACTTCAAAGCAAATTGGAAAAGGAAGCGACTGGATGTGATAAGCAAGTTCGGTACAGGGGATTCCACAGAAATCGATGACGATGGGAGACCATTGGATCCAACAGATGATATGATGTTAATCTTTGCCAACGACAACAATATTACAACTGAGGAGGCCTGGCACCGATTCAGAGGAGAGCAATTCATTTGCAAGGTGGCACTCGTGATCCTATCATTTGGTCATACTCCGCAATCCTTCAAGGAGGAATATGGCAACTTCGAATACTCCACCAACTTGACTGATGCCCAGCTTGAGGAGTTGAAAGCGAAGAAAGCCAGCGCAATGACTGAATTGGTACAGAAGTGCATCCATGCGATTTATGGGTGTCGGACATATTCTTACTTTAGAACCGACATTACATCACCCTACCACAAGGTGATCGATCCTCTGGACATCATGTACTCGAGAATGAAGAGCAAGTGGGAGAAGTCTATTCTGTTGATCATTGATCAACATGAGATCAGGTTGCCCCCACAAGCTCAGGAAGTCATAGAGTCAATGGCCAGAAACCCCAACGTTGGACATACAGAGAGATGGATGAGCGTGGTAGAACATAAGCATGTTCAAGCTCTTACCAATCGTCTAGGCTTTGGAGATAGGGCCAAGGAGATTCAGGGCAAGAAGAAGCAGGCAGCCAAGGCAACAGCTAAGTCAACATCAACGACTAAGTCTGAAGCGAAAGCAGCATCTTCGTCAAGAGCTGAGGCAAAGCCAGCATCTACACCCAGAACCGAGGCCAAGCCGTCGTCAGCACCAAGTGAGGAGCCAAAACCTTCAACAGCACCTAAGAATTTCGGGCCCTCATCAGCAGAGGAGAACAAGGCGAAGGCTGCTCCAAAAGCCAGACCACTTGACAAATCACCATCCAGTGCTACCGATGTGTTTGAGCAAGCTTTGCAGGAAGATCTTGCCGCCAACGCACATGCAGCAGAAGGTACAACTTCTTCATCATCCCGAGGACATTCCAAAGGAGGAGGCCAATCTGGAACATCTTGGAGGCCGGCGCTAACGCAAGAACGTCGCGAAGTACCTCAACCTTCTGAAAAGGGGAAGGGAAAGAGCAAATCCAAGGGAAAGTCCAAGAAGGGAGAAGATGATCGGTGGGATGCTCAGGGCAGCTGGGATCATCGTGGATGGAGAGGTTATCACCAGTGGTGATTTCTTTGAACGACTATAAGGATACCATGCAAACCAGGGAGGAAATCATTCACCGGATGTTTATCTGACCTGAAACGCTGTAAGTGTATCATTGCAAATCGTCAATCTGATTTGATACCATGAGCATAATGGAAGGAAGACAATCACCGACTGTCTCTCCGACTTGCCGTTCTGTAAGTGTATCCAAACCAAAACCTACATCTTTTGAGAAGTGTGAAGTCAGTTGCCAATGTGACATCTACGTGGAAGTCACCAGTTCGGATCTACATCAAAGCGATGCTCTTTTGAGTGGATACTGAGCGAGGCCTCGTGACTGTCTCACTTGTTCAATTCGATTTTTTCAAAGGTTCTGAGCCATAGTTGCACACTTTATATGTAAAAGTCCGCTTTAGTCCAGCATGTTTCGTAGTATGAGCCTCATATGAGTCTCGCGGCAAATCATACAATTTCTTTTGTAGCACTTACATCCCTAAATTTTCGTGTGTGATCGGAACATATTGTTGCCGTTCACATGGGGGGTGCGAATGGAAGTGCAGCGACACGTACAGTGCAACTTGTACATATATATGTACCATATGTACTTTGGCTCAAGGATCAAGCGACTAGAAAAGGTGCGGTTTCCGTTCCGACGCTACGCCGCTTATGGACCGTCAGTGATAGCTTCAAACTTCGCTGATTAAGATCCACTCGCAATATATATATATATATATACAGTATATATCACGAAAGCCAGCCGATAGGCTAGGCTGGAGTTGTCGATTGGCGAACGAAGTGAGCATAGGGGGTGTGGGGGGTAGCTGGCCAGGGGTGTTGTAATGCAAGCGCCGAATAGTGCATCATTAGCATCATGAGGAGCTCAGGAGGCTGGCTATTTGGACAGTCTTTCGACAAGGGGTGGAAGTTCATGTCGAGGACTGGAACGTGACAGGAAAAGCGGTCGGAAATCCATCAGGAAAGTGAGATGTGCGTCTCTCAACCGTCTGTTGTCTCGTGGCTAATAAAAGGGGAACGCAAGAAAGAACATGACCCGTAACAACAGTAATGTTTGCCCACTCTTAGCAGCACGCCGAGTTTATGAGTCCATCTACAGGCCTGCCCCTCAGTTACTTAGGGGTGCCCTTTTCAACTTGAAAACGCCCTTGAACCAAAAGAGAAAGCGCACCCCATCCCCACCAGTGAATGTCCTGCTCAAGTCAACCTTTCTCCTCCGACTGTAAATGTCCTGCTCAACTCAATTTTTTCCTAACGCACGGGCTCCAATACTTTTATCCTATAACTATAACCGCTAATGGGCCTGATCGAAACCTTGTGTATAAAGAACCTGTCATATCGGCCCTCAATGCGAGACTTTCCGCCTCTGCCTTCTATCTCCCCATGCCTGACAGCAGTTCCAGTGCGCTGTCGAATTCACCCCATAACCACATTGATGTCTTCTTACGGAGGCTGGCCTTCGTCCCCTCCCTTCTCAGGTTTATATATTCCGACGTATGACCACCAAAATTGGCTAAAAAGACTTTCACGATCAGTACAACGATGCTCAACAAGATAGCCAGGCTACCTGGCTACCCTTCAAGATCATGCTACGCCTCAAGCGTCAGTCCCGACAAGTTCCTGTCCTGGATCTCCAAGGTCCGTCTCTCGTGATCTTTCTCCAGTGGACGAGACCAAGGCACAACAAGTCCCACATGTATCAAGGATCGACCAGAGATAATTTTGCATTTTTCAAATTTGACCTGTAGATTCTTTGGGAAAGCAGCATCCATGTTCACAACATCCACCTTCAACATCCCTCAATGCAATGAGACCCCGTCAGTGGAAGCCTTTGCTGGATGTTTTTCAACACTTCATTCGGGTGGACAGTTGAACGTTTGGCAGGTGATGGCTTGGCGGCCGCAACCGAGTCCCAAAGGTTGGGCATCCGCATCCGTAGGCTTTTCGCAGCTCTTGGTACTGACGCGTTTGGTATGTGACAGGTGATACTTTTGTTCTTTCATGTGTACCCACTGCCGTGCAGTCATGACTTCTCTCTTGCTGGAGAGTTGGCTTTGCTTGCAGGCCCTGCAGGCCGGAGACGACGTCAAGACAAGCAAGGCAGCTGGGTGATTCCAACATATTCCAACAAGGAATTCCTGCCAACTGAAAAGCCACAAACACCCTATTGACTTCCAGGTTCGGGAAGAGTAGAAAACATAGCAGAGGAGAAGTTATATACAGTAAGTCTACGGTTCGTTGACTTTGGCACCGACCTCTTTGCTTTGTGAAACAGCAGCTTGACGAGCAGTTTGACTCTTGTTCTTACCAGCAGTAAGATTCAATAAGGTGTTTCTCATTGTTTCTCATCCCATTTAGCCCTTAAAATTGTACTGGTCACCTTAGCCAAAGAAAGTGCCTGGGCTTTGTTCCGCTTTGAAGCCGATCAGCTGGTGTTTCACTCACCAAAAGTTGCATTTAAAGGAGATGGTACTATCTACAATCTAGACCATGTCTAGATGTCACTTGAATCCAGATCAACCATGATTGCATCTCTGAATATTCCGATTTCTCTTGTTGAATAGAATTGACAAATGTTCAACAACCCTACATGATAAATGACGTTCAATGGAAAGGACATGCAATGCAGAGCAGCCAAGAAAAGAACAAAAGGAAAGGCAGGCAAGGAACAGACTCGACACAGGAATGTAACGAAGCAGGGCAAATGAGGGCTTGACAGAATTATATTCTATCGAAAGGTCCCTTGTCATTAACATGAAAGGGGTGTCCCAAACACCACCCGTATGAGAATAGATCATGACAGATTCACTATAAGACTACATGGCAGAGAGCGAGAAAGAGCAGCGATGAGGAAGAGCAGCGACATTATGGCACCGCAGGTGTTTCAAACCCACGCTCCTTGTTGGACGCTGAGAAAGATAATGTTGATGTTCGAGTTGTGCAGACATTCTAAGAGCTGTTGTGTTTCAGTTGTGCCTTATCAGAGTTCATTCTATATTCTATATGTGTTTGTTGACTTCCACATTGAACTGCCTGTCACATAATCTGCCTAAGTGGCAGTGGCAACCGAAGCCCAAAACTCGGTAGACCGATTCTATAGAGAGTGCTCATGTTCAAATACATCAACCCTGCTTGGACTATTCAACAATTTTGATTATCACAAGCTTCCTATTATTGCTATCTATATGCTTGCCGACTTTTTTCAACAGGCTGGATATCCATCGAAGTGAGCAACTGCGAATGTTAAGACTATGTTAAGACTAAGACTGTTGGCATATAACTCTCATGCTTAGAGCCAAAGTTCTCGATGAATCTCAATCCTGTCTTTGTCGTTTTGGCTCAAAAGCCCTCGGCAACTCAACCCAGAGCCTCAAGGTTGGAATCGATCTTCGTGCAGAAAAGAACCTCCCAGTCTGTGTGGGAAACTCCCAGTCTTTTTCCGTTTGGTTTGAACATGACCTGACTGAATAACATGGAAACTTCTGGATGACCTGACTGTCAAAGATCTGCATGGTCTCAAAGACACCCTGGAGCTTTGATTGCACAATGGGTGTATCAGGAGTTTTGTCAGCTTGTTTGAACAATGTGGCTTGGTCTGAACACGTTGGAAGTAATTTCTTTCACGCACTACAAGTTTGTCATAGTTTGTCAGTATCCGGGCGTTGGCAGGTCGGTGATGGCATCTCTGGGACAACATGCCAAGAACAAGAAGCCGAAGAGGCAGACCGCAGGAGAGTACACTTTGGCTTGCGATCGGTGACCAATCATACAATGTCTTGCACCTCAAGTGATCTTCACCATGGGCAACTTGACATGTTCAGCTCAGATCCCCGCTACCACATGGCCATTCTACCTTGTATGTCACTTCCCCTTCCTTCAGGAATATCTTGACAACATTTTTCTTGACAGCTCTGTTCGCTGAACGTCTTTGAACAATCCAGTGGCAGGGGTTTGCTGTTTTTGGATTGCAAAATGCAAAACGCCTTATACAACTATATATATATTATCCCGTGTGGCGACAGGCAGACTTCATGCTTCGCCTAGAGTGCGACTTGGCTGAATAATTTGGTTGATGCCGTGGCATGCCAGAAGTTGCTTGCTCCTGTCCTTGTCTTCAGCGCCCAAAAACTCAAGCTTCAATGTTTGTGAGGTGTTGTTCTACGTTGACCTTCCCATGTTGAGTTCCGCTTCAACACTTTACGCTTGATTCATGGTGTTCAAACAGTCCCGGATGGCTGAGATCCTTGTCCTCACGGCAGAAGGGGGGCTGATGCCTTCAAGCATGCCTGCTTCCGGCTGGGAAGGCAACCGACCAACGAGACTCAGCTTAAAGACTGCTGAAAGAACCATAATATGATTTTGCCCGCCCAGAACTTGATCACAGGCAAGATAGCCATGTCCAAGACGAGGTAGCCAACAGTACCGATGGATAGCAGGCTTGACGCAGGAAAAGTGCTTTTTTTTCCAGTTTGCTGTAGATGTCTCCAGTTTGACCTCAGGACATTCTGGCGGATTTGCGTGACCATGGCGTGCCTTTGTTGAAATGCATTCGGACAGGAGCTGCCTGAACTAGCACAGGTGTCTGGCAACCAGAGCGTGTTGGGTCCTCTCCAACAGGTCGGGATTTGTTTCCCACCACCACCACCCCCGCCACCACCGCCGCCGCCGCCACCACCACCACCACCACCATATTTTCATGGACATGACCACACCGAACATGTTCACAAAACATACCAAAGAAACACCCAACTTCTTTTGCTTGAGGCACTGGTCCTGGATATTCAGCTTTGCCGAGATTTAGAGCCGCTTCTCATTTTCTTGAAGGACTGCCCCTTGGGCATCCACCAGGCACGGTCTTCTTTCGGTTAGACTAGATATTTAAGCTCAAAGGTGCAGGATGCAATTGCTCAGGACAGCTGCCAGAGCTCCAGATGTCTCAAACGGTTTCCGAGTAAGATTATGTGTTTTCTCTTTAGTTAGTTTGTATATTTGACACATCCGGCATCGCGGTCAAACAGGAAGGTCTGTAGCAGGTGTAAATCTGAGCGTCCTTTGCAATACAATCTCAAACTACCAGGTGATGATCTATGATGGCAACTTGTTTTTTGGATCAGAGGCTTCTTACCAAGCACCTGGGCTGTGTGCATTCTAGAATTGTAAGTCATAATTACTGATACTTCCTAATTAGGCAACCTCAATCGACTGCAACCCATCACTGAGAGTGGGAAGTTTCACAATCGAATGTTTCAGATGTTTCAGAGGCAAAGCATATTTGTTGATGAAGTGGGAACAAGAGGACGCTACTAGGGGCTCCTGGCATCGCTACTAGGAGCAAGGACGCTACTAGGGGCTCCTGGCCTTACTAATAGGAGCAAAGACGTTACTAGGACAACTGCTGGATCAAAGATCTTGATGTCTAGAGCCAAGATGAGGTACACCTGCAACAATTGCAGGGCGTTTCTGCAAGCACAACATGTCTAAAGCCAGTGCATGATAGATCATAACATATCATGATCATAGGAAGAATGGGACGCTGTGACTGTAGTGTCACCACTTACACTAGTTATACCATACGCACAAAGACACTTTGCGGTAGTAAAGAGTAGACTTCAGAGATCAGAGTATCAGGTGCAGCTGTGGCGTTTGATGCGAGCATTAGCTGCATTTTCTTCACTACGTGGCACGGGGTTAGCAGCAATGCCGGCATGTGCTTGATTCAATCAATCAATCCTTACCCCACCGCAATGTATGCCAGACGCATGCTGCCAGTACCCCTTTTCATGATCAATTTGTTGGGCAGTTCTTTGGTTTAGTTCCCCAACCGCACACATGCTCAAGGGTAGGGTGCGACCTTTCGACGGAGGAAGATAGCTTAATCGATCATGCCAGCAGTATTCCAGCTTTGTGGCACATCCTGTTAAGTTTGCACCGCGGATACCAGTTGTAAAACTAATCTAAACTATTTCAACCCAATGCAAGCCAAGCAGCTTGAGTTGTGAATGAGAAGGAATAACATCATCCACCAAATGAACCATCCCTACGAACCGAAGAGCCTCTTCAGCAAGATCTTGATAGCCAGATACCTAGCCAAGTAGAATTATTTACAACTGTGATGTTATAAGTTATGAGTAACAAGATAGCTGCTTCTGTATACTCGACTTCAATGCTAACTTACCACAGAACTAGAAGGCATTAAAATGTCGTTTGTTTTCTCGCTCTTTCACTTTCATTATTTTTTGACACTAGACACACGCTACTAGGTTGGAGGCCATCGCTAGTAGGTTGGAGGCCATTGCTATTCGGGGGGGGAACCGGGGTAAAAGAAGAAAACAACATGGACCTTTCATGACCTACTAGGAGCAATGTTCGCTACTAGGAGCAACATGGACCTTTCATGACCTTTCTTTTTTTCATGACCTTTCGGGCTGCTGTGCTCGCTTTAGGTCTGGATGTCACTCATCCTTTGCTGTTACCAGCTTCCTTTGCCAACGCGGGACTTGTTTAAGGGATTGATTAAGGCCTAGCAACGTCTAACAAATTCTGACTGTATGGAACTTTGAAATAGTAACGCTTGCCCGACGGGGGGAATCCACAACTCCGCCAGGTCTTGGAGCTCACAGGGCTTCCGATCTCCTTCGAAGGGCAAGGTATCTCATTGCTCAACCGCTGCTTAGCACAGACACCCTCGCTGCAGCGCTTGCAGCTGAGCAAAGAAAGATCAGAGATTTGAAGTGACTGAAGAGTTGTTTGAAGAGGAACATCATAGTAGGAAGAAGACACATGCTTGGCCTTTGCCATATTTCGCCTTTTCCTTTTTGCTTTTGCCTGAGTGTCTTGCCGCTTCCTTCGGTGAATATACGCTGGATATCCATGCATCGGTCTTTGTCTCTCGCAGGCATCCAAGTTCAGGTTCTAGACTTGAGTTTTTTAACTTAGAAAGACGGCAAGGGAAGAGTTTGTGTGATCCACAGCTCTTCAAAGCATCTTGACCTGTGCTGCAGTAGGCACCAACAATGAAATATTTTTCTGGAGCTTGTTCCAGACAAGAGGTTGAAGAGGAGGTTTTGACAGACTGTAGAAACAGCGCAATGGCGCAACTGTTCACCTTTGCGACGGATCACTCCTAACATCGTACAATTAGAATTCAGTGAAGCGGCAAAAGTAAAACTTGCCAGCTTTTACATTCTACATGTAAGTCGGAATACCGGCTCAGGGTTGTCTACAGTCTCAAGTGTAGAAATGTATTGGCTTTGCATGCGCTTTCGGGTGCATGTCAGAGAGCCTGTCAGTTGCCAAGCTCGGAGCTTGCACTAAGGCATTTAGAGGGTTGTGGACTCCAAGATCGCTCCTTGGATGTGGAAAGGTGACATTATCCGCGTGAGCAATCGCCAAAACGTGCGATGAATTCCTTGGTTAACACCTGCACAAGCCATAGGCCCCCCTCAAAAAGCGATAGCCTTACTGAATCATGTCCTCCTCTTTGCAAGACGTTTTGGCAGACGCTCATGTCACCCCGGTAAAGTGTTTGTTTGTTGATCTTGTTTGTCGTGACTGTTCGGGTTGAAACCATTTTTGTTTAGATGACGAGCCCAAGTTTGTTTAGTCCTGGAATTGTTTTGAGTAGACAATATGACTGAAGCTGAGATGATTTGAGCATGTTTCGACAATCAGTCGCAATCGTTGCCTTTTGCAAATCTTCACTCCAGACCTGCAACAAATGCTATAAGGTGGCCTGGGGCAGTTGCTGCCCCACCTTGGTCGCACCTTGGCTTTACGTCTCTTGCACAGAAAGCTGCAGGAGGCGGTTGAGTTGAACTACTGAGGGCGAATTACCAGGTGAAAGCCATGACATGTATACGTTGTCAATTGAACACAGATGCATTTGAGGTTCAAGTTCTATT